ACATCCAAGCAGAGCTATGCGGGGCAGAGTGCAGGTTTGTCCTCTTACTTTTGTCTTTCATTCGAGCCATCGTGCCACGGTAGACTTTATTCATTTGTGTGACACAGTACGCAGAGTTAATGTTACCCCTAAAACATGCCAAATTAATTAATATATACTGTTAAATGCACAGGCATGTGAGTTTTCGATGTCGGCATCTATTCAGACAATTGTCCATCGCCAACTTGCATTCTTCTCGTCCACCGTACAACTTCAAAAGTGAGCTGATGTAGTTTTGCCAATTGTTTGCAAGTGTTTTGATCGATCAGGAAAATTTGCACTGTTGTAGATATTTGATAGTATGTGTGACGTATGCAAGAGGAAGCAGGCCATCTTCAATAGCCATATTGTAACGTTCATTATCACCCACATCATGAAAACGGGCTTTGTGAAGTCAGACTCCCCTCCTCGCTTGAAAAAGTTTGCACCATAGTCTCATATTTAGTTTTATTCAATTACAAACTGAGGAGCAGTACAGTGTATGTAAATCAGGAAGTTTGTATATAGAGAATTAATGATTGTAACTGTATGATTGTCTGTAGGGCATTATATCGAAACACACTGCTTACCTCAAGACTTGAGACAAATCTCTCCTTTCTCTCTATTTTTACGTTTCCTTGTATCTAGGCCTTCTCTCATACTAATTGGATATGATATGTAATGTATATCCTCCACCAGAAGCACTACGTAATAGCAAACTAACACAAAAGCTGGTCAGTGTTACGTGTATTCTATTTAAAGACACATTTATCGACGCTATATAGGCCCACGCGCACTCCGATGCACATCTGCAGATAAAATTCCTTTTAAAGACATTCTATAATTGGCTGATGTTTACTTATAATGTTGAAATAAGATCGCTTTCTTGTGGCTTCAGTGATAGTATGGTATACTTTTGCTGTAATTCAGTGTTTTGTGTCAGGAAACACTCAGAAACAATCCTGTTTTTACAGCTCCAGTCACAAACAGTTCAATAAATGATTGTTAAGATACGCTTGATCATCAGTCATAATGCTGAGTGCACTTTGACTTTGGTGTATTATCACCTATGTGTATATAATAGCCAAACAAGGCCTGATTTTATCCTCCCATGTTAACAAAAGTTGTATTTTCAGCAGTAATAGATCATGTTCTTATGATTTGATCATCATTTGGAGCCGCTTCAGTTGACAAACCAGAACCAAGAGAAACATAAAACGGGTTCTTGCAGGATGTCAGATGCTCTGAGAGGTGGGGTCTGAAGTTCTGCTTCCTACAGCAGCAGCTTGGCAAATACAATCACTTCTCTCAATATTCTGCGCTTTATATGAAGGTGTTTTACTGTTGCTGTCGTCATGTCCCTCAGAGCATTTTATGACTGTACCTTGATTGTAGAAGCCCTATTTTATACTGAGAGTTATTTGAGAATACAGTATGTGCTGTTGTACATTAAATGTATTGTATGGAGAAAGCTAAATAAATGCTGTTTAAAAACTGTTTCTCTGGGAAATCATTGAGTCATAACTTCCTCTTAAATCTTATAAATTAAATAAAAAGGTGGCCATCAAGTATGTGGAAAGCTTAACTTTCAGTAAAGATAACCTGCTAAAGTTCAAAGTGAGCATTAGAATGAGGAAGAAAGCTGGTTTAAGTGTCTTTGAGTGTGGTGTGTTTGTTGGTGGCAGACAGGCTGGTCTGAATATTTGTGAAACTGCTGGGATTTTCCCAACACAACTATCTGGAGTTTACAGAGAGTGGTCTGAACAAGAGAAAACATCCAGTAAGTGGCAGTGTTCTTAGGGAAAATGCTTTGTTGATACTAGAGGTTAGAGAAGAATGGCCAGAGTGTTTCAAGCTGAGAGGAAGGCAACAGTGACTGAAATAACCACTCGATACAACCAAAGTATGCAGAAGAGCAACTCTTAATGTGCAGCACATTGAAGCAGAGGGGCTTCATCAGCAGATGTCAACCAAGAACAGGAAATTGAAGCTACAAATTACACAGGCTCACCAAAAGCGGACAACAGAAGACTGATAACATGTTGGAAAAAGCATGGAGCCATCCTGCTTTATATCTAACATTTACAGTACTGGTGGTGGTGGAGGTGTAAGGGTGTAGGGGATATTTTCTTCCCACGTGTTGGGCTTTTTACTACCGACTGAGCATTGTTTAAATGTCATGGTCTACCCAGGTTTTCTTTTGCTGACCATGTCCATCAGCTGTTCGTATTTACTAAACAGTGATTTCACTGTACTCAAACGACTTCCACAGTCGCCATATTTAAGTCCGATAGAGCATTTTATGTATGTGGTGGGTTTTTTGTTTTTTTTTAAAAAGAAACTTTACAGATGGATTAAAAAGGTAATAAATGTATTTATTTTTTAGCAACTAATGAAGTGTTTATTTTTTTTTCCTGCAACTTTTTCCTCTTTTGCAGAGGTTTTTAACTCTGTTCTTATCTGTACTCTGCAGTGCGTCAGTACATTTTCTGCAGTTCAGCCACTAGAGTGCACACTTTTAACATGCTGCCATAGAGCTACATGACTCACATGGTGTTTCATTTATTGTGGTGCTGCAAAAATAATCTCACGCACAGAGCGAGTCTGCCAAGACTAATCTGTTCAGTTGCATAAGCTGAAGTTTGATCTGTTTTTCCAATTCCTTGTCAGTGTTTTTAGTTTTCAAAACAACATCGGTGAACTCCTATTAAAATTAAACCTGATCTTGATTCATTTTGCCTTTCCAGTGTTTAGTTTTTAGTGAGCCTCATAAGTCCCAGCGCTGCTTCAGTGGGGTGGAATCGGCAGTATTGGCAGGCCCCTCATCTTTCATAAGATAAGCAAATTACTGGCTTGTTTACATGCTGGTGTGTTGAAAATGTAAATCAAACGAAAGAGACTTTTGTACTGAGTTAACAAAGATGCCTCAATGGAATCTTGATACTGGATGCTCTACATCTGCGCCTAATCAGACTTGTGGCTCCAGTCCCACAGTCCCAGATGACTGGGATGTGGTGGATCTGCTGAATCACAGCAGACACACACAGGACGAAAAGAAAAATTCTAAGCCTTTTCCCCCCCCTTTTCTTATGACCTGAATCAAAATCACCCTTCCCTAACCTATTTTCCCTTCCATGCTTACATTAGCAATGTTTTATTGAAGGAGTGATTTCAGCTGAGAGCAACCTAACTGACATGATTCCACTCAGAAACCCTTTAAAGGATTAATAATGTGAAACAGAGAACTCAGCCACATATCCAGCATCCTACCGGTGTGTCAAGGCCTCTGGCATCCAAGTCAGAATGACGAGAACAGAGCAGGGTTGACTTTTATGAATCTGTTTCCATTTGTACCTAGTGAGCCTGCTGGATTACAGTCTTTCTCTCTCACTTTCACTCTCGCCTTCCCTCCCCCAACTCTGTTCCTCTCTCTCTCTCTCTCTCTCTCTGATGTCATTGTTTCCTGCCCAATAGTTTCTGATGCTCAGTTCAGGTCTGTGTGCACACACATTAAACATAATGCACAGCACTCTGCTTGAAATGCTGACATATAGGAAATTACAGACACGTACAACACTGATGTCAGCCCCATTTTCAGTCGACTCTGTGCTCTGGTTTCTCTTGTCTGCACTGCAGACATCAAACAATGTGTGCGTACTACCTGTGGCCATGTCGCCTTTTGCAGGTTGATTTAAGGCCTTGTAGGGTTGCCTATCTTCTCTTTGTGGTTATCATCCACTGACTTTCCTTCAGAAACTATAGCTGCCAAAAAAAACAAATGCTAGAACTGTTGCATTATCTATAACATCATTCACATCCTTTACACTGTTGTAACATATTAGCTTCCAACAAATAAAATCATTCCATTTGTGCTGTAACAGCAATAGTAATAACTAAAGTTATCCAGCTCTGTGTTAGTTCCAGCTCAGAAGCCCTGTGCTTGACCTTACTGTAGTCCGAGATTTCTGCAGCATTCTTCACAGCAGTAGTCATATCCCCCATCGATAAGATTGCACAACACCATAGTTTTCTTAAAATCAAATCCCACGCAGTCTGTTTTCCTTTTCTGCGTCACTGTCCTCTGAGTCTGAGACAGTATGAACTAAATGATTTTAGCAGGTTTTCATGCACTTGGACGTCTGTACCTGTGTATCTGTCTTGTTCATCACAGTCTGAAACCCATTCAGAGGACATCTCTTCTTTTTCTGCTCCTAAGCAGAGTTTATAGGAGTTCTGCGGGCTTCACAATGCTTTTTACCACATTGCTTAATATCTGGATTCTAAATCTAGAAACTGAAATGATCTAAACTCTTAGCCTAGACTTATTAATGGATCAGTCATTCTTCGTTGAGACTAGCTGCAACCTTTTCTACACACCCAGAATTTAAAGGCCCTGACAGGCTCTCCAAACAGTGGACAGAGTAAGAGGAGGATGGGGGATGGTTAAAAAAAAACACAGCAAATGTTAATTCTGTCATCTGCTCAGACAATTCTCTTGCCCAGCGTGTGTATTACTCCAACCCCCACCCCCCACCCACCCACCCACCCCCACCCTTTTGTGTAACACAACCTTTTCTCCAGAAAGGAGAAAGAAAAATACGTAACACTCAGAGGAATGAGCGACAGTGCACCACACTGAAGTGATGGAAAGCAGAGATCCCCTTTTTTTTAAGTACCAAAGAAGAATCTATGTTTTACTCCTGCCTGTTTCCCTTTTTTTTTCTCCTCTTCTTCTTTTTTGGAATTCCTCACTCTGAGGATTAGCTTGTGTTTGTCTCAATCCTCCCCCTTTTGCCCATTCTCTCCTCCTCCTCCTCTTCGGCTTGTGGAATTCAATGTCCTAGGAATCACTCCCCTCTCCTGCTGCTTTGTGGTGACTGAGGAATTCAGCCAGAGCCGAGGACGAAGAAAAATTGGCGTTTAACTCCAGGAGGTGCAAACCCTGCAGTCTGGGGCCCTCACCTGCCTTCCTTCATCCTCCAACTCCTGTCTGGGCACTGCACCTGTTCTGACTTGTCGGCCAGGTGGAGGGGATCCTCTAGCCTTGCGCTGTTTTTTCAGCTGACCCTGGCTTCGGGGTAATTAGGAACCCTGTCTATTAATTTGACTGGATTACTGCTTTGCTTTGCATCTTTTCTTTCCGTCTGTCTCTACAACCCACCTCCCTTCCCTCCCTGTGTATCTCTACCCCCCTCCCACTCCATCTCTTGTCTAGAGCAGTCTGAGGCTGGCTGACACTGTGGCTGTGTGGGTATGTGTGGAGTTGCAGAGGTTTCCCTTCTCGAGTAAAAGTGTGGATCACAAGGAAAGAGCACACAAGGGGGCCTAAGGGTGAAATTTAACCTTCTGGCAATTAAACTGGAGTGAGTGTTGAGCGGTTGTACAAACTCCAAACCAAAGGATTGTGCGAGTTGGAAGAGCAGCAGGTATGAAGATCCAGGCTGTGACTGCGTCTGCGGCTCTGCTGGCCCTGTGCTGCCTGCTGATGATCCCTAGAGGAGGAGAGAGCGCCGGGGGAATAGTTTCTCTCCGGCAGGCTGGGGATCAGCTGCGAGACGAATCGCCGGATGACCCAGAAAGAGAGCAAGGACTTGTAGCAGACTTACTCCCAGAGGAGGGTGGCATCAAGACCAAGAGAGAAGCAGAAGCCAACCAGGCAGGTAAGTGGAAGAAATTATATTTTGTACTTCTAAAGCACAGATGTGTTATGCCGACAAGATATCAGAGCTGCTGAGGTACTGCTTGAGTTGTGGCATGACATGGAGCAAATGCAGACACAAACACACAACGATTCGGTCTCTGACAGCTCCAACAGCGTGACAAAGTCCATGTGCTCGTCTGTCCACTCCTGCTTCCCCGCACAAGGGAGCGGGACAGATGAGCTGGTTTAACTCACACCAGACAAGAGAAGAAGACACTGAGTCGAGCATCTTGCAGACAGATTTTTTTATGACGCGTACCTTTTCCACTGCCTCAGTTGCTCAAGCCCTGCATGAATAATGCTGACTCTTCTGTACAGTCCCGCTAACACACTTCAAGCAATAAGCCCAGTTTTTGGAGCCATTAAATAAGCTCTTTGATGAGTCTCGCTTATGCTGCTGAGGTGAAAGCGGTACATTTATTGAGTATCTGGACTGATTTTGGATCATTAAAGCTGAACTGTGGTTAATAGAGCACAACTAATGGAAAGAGAGAAACATGGTTTCCATGAAGGTGCCACAGGACTTGAGGAAAAGTCAAAAGGAAATACTGATGGACCTCAAGCAGCCACTGAAATGTAATTGGCAGTCTGGACTTTCCTTGGAAACACTGCAATGTGATGCAGTGAAGAAATAGTTGCATAATCTCAGACCCAAGCCTCATAAAAGAACTAATTGTGTCTTTAGCTTCTGTATGCAAGGAGGAATATGTTTTCATTTCAAAAGATTTTGTCACAGAACCGTGAGGAGTGGGCTCTGGAAAACCTCTCTCTCTCTCTGCCGCTTCTTTTTTTCCCCTTTTTTCCAGATATTTTAGGCCGGGTGAGGAGGGCACCTGATGAAGACAAGAAGAAAAAGAAGGACAAGAAGAAGAACAAAGAGCCAAAAGACCCCAAAGCCACCAAAAAGCCAAAAACCGACAAGAAGGGAAAGAAGAAGGACAAGAAAACAACAACCACAACTTTGCCCCCGACCACAACAAGTGAGAAGAGAATACTAAGCCTTGAGCCTGCTTCACTGATCACTTGGATTTGATTGTTGTTAAATCTTGTATCTTATATTTCCAGCGATCCCAACGGAGCCACCCACCGAACCATATACAGATTACCCCTATCCCGATGCCGGTGAGTGGCACACATGCAGGGGCTGCTTGAAGAATATTGACTCAGTTGACTACTAAATTTGAGTTCATATAACTATATTGTTAATATGTGTTAATGTTAATATGTTAATATTCTGTGTGTTAAATTGCCTCCCACTACTGGCTTGGAAAAACATGTTTAACAATTTTTTTTAAAGGCTGGGAATATAAGAATATAAATGGGATATAAACATGACAATATAAATGGAAACTTCAACCATTGTATGCATCGAAGTCTGAACAGGATTTGGTCAGTGCTACTGCACCTTTGAGAAAATTTATGTAAATCGCAAAATTATGTCATTCAAGTCTGTTTTGGGGTGGACCAGGAGCATAAAAGAAGTGGATTTGCCTCTGGTTTGTAGATTTGAAAGCCGTAACCTCAAGCATTTTGAGGGCTGGATGTGAACACAATGGTGAGCTGCAGAGGAGTGTGGGATGAATGTAAGAACCTGAGGACACTGTCCACATAAAATCTGACCATTCAAATCATGATCATGCAATACTGAAGAAGATTTCAAACACCAGGGTCAGAGGCCATAAAATGACCACAGAAAAACTTGACAGGGATGATTAATCTCATTAAAGTTTTATGCAGCATGACTTCGTTGTCCCAACACTGTTGAATATTAGAGAGTTTAAGTCACTTCCACATTAGCTTATTTTGTACAATACCAGATTGTAGACAGATGGAGGAATCTACCGTGACATCACCCATTGGTTTCTGAAGTCTGGCCTTGAGATGAGTGTTTCAGCTGTTTCTGCCATCTTGGTGAAACTGGAGCTCATGAGAGGGCAGTTTTATACCGCAGATAATCTTCCATTTTGATACACGGAATGACCAAGATTTTTAAAACAGACCATTTTTAACCAGCGTGACCCAAAACGAAAGACTGAGCTCAACAGGAAAGTGTTTACAGAGGTCAAGACAGAAAGCTGTTCTCCCTTTGACATTAGGCTTAGTAGCTTCTGCACCCAGAAGCTACTGAAAATGACAAAACTTAGAGTTAGAAAGATCAAATGTAGCCCCCTCCTCATTTCTGAGCCAGCTACCAGCTCAGTGTTACATTAGCCTCACATAACACACCTAAATCTCTAAATCACAACACTGAAATGAAGACTGAAATGTGGCACACACACCTAGATGTAAATATAGCACCTATTCCGATTAGGCAAAAAAGTTGTGCTCTTTTATGATTTTTTACCCATCGAGGGTTACAGTGTTTGTTTGTTTGTTTGTGAGGATTTGTTGTTGTTTTTATTCAAATACAAATTTAAAACTAGAAATATGTCTAAGTAGTAGTGGAAAGGAGGAAAAATAATTTCAGATCCAGTTCAAAAATCAGAACATTATAAAACACCAGAGAACCATAAAAATATTTGTGTCCAGACTTGTGAGCTCACCATCAGCCAGCTTTTGTGTCTGTTTCCCTCTCAGAAACTGATTACTGGAGCCCAGAAGATGACTACTGGGGTCCTGAGCCCACACCCTCCAGGCCAAAGCCTGAGGCTGCGATCACAGATCCCCCATACGACTACTGGAAGCCAGACGCCCCCATAACAGATGCCTATGAAGACTACTTTAAACCAGATGAGGAAGACCCAGCTGCTCTTGTAACATATGCCTACGATGACTATTGGAAACCAGCAGAGAAAGAAGTGCCCACTTCAGCGCCTGCCATCTACGATGATTACATGAAACCAGACGAGACAGACCTCTACACCTCTGTGACCGATAACTATGACAGCTACTGGCAAGAAGTAAACCCAACGCCTGCTGCCCCTGATACAAAGCCTGGAACAGATGACAGCGATTACTGGGATGCCACATGTACGTATAAGTCTTTCGTGTCTTTGTTTTGATTGAGGATGTTTAGTGTGGAGGCAGTTTATGTAACATGAATAAGATGATGAAAGCATAATTAGATCCATGTGGCAAAATGGGGGGGCGCTGAAACAATTCTGAGAAATATCATGAATTTACTTAACTGACAGGGGTGTTTACAGGAATTTTTCAGTGGGGTAGGCCAAGGTGTGGGGCACGATTAAGGCAGGGGCCCCGTAGGAAAAACAATTGTCTTAAATAATTTTTTTTTATCAGAAATGCAGAAAATTGGTATTAAAGAAACTGATGCTGCACAAAAAATACTTTTACAAGCAATCTGACTCTTCACTTAAGTAATAGTAAAGGTTTTTATCATCAGCTTGTACTTTAAAAAGCTTGCTTTAGATACTTCGAACTAACAAGTAACTACAACTTGAAAATAACTGGTATAGAGTACAAAATGTGACACTTATATACAAGATGTAATGGAGTAGAAGTAGACAACAACATAGAAATACTAAGGTACAAGTAAATTAAAACCTTACTTCGATGAAATAGTAAAGTAAATTCTCTCATCTGATGGTGTTAAGTATTGTAGCATTAATAGTAATGTACTCCAATAGCATTAAAAGATTAGGAAACACCCTCACCTTCAGAGGGGATGGATGCCACCCCACATCCTTCCTCTAGGCACTCCCCTGCCAGTGGAAACTTGAGTCGAGACAAATGCTTTACTCTCTGTCTTGTGAAACTTGACATTTAAAATAATGGCAGTTAGTAAAATTTTAGTTTATGTCTTTAAAAGTATGAGGGAGTCAAACAACAAGAACTCAATTAGGTCAAAATTTCCCCTTTGTTTTATCATTACTGCTTTGCGGTGTGGAAATAAAAACTGCTGGTAGTGGTTAAAAAGGATCATTGTCAGAGTTTAAAGTGCATTCTTTTAATGCTAATTGAGAGGTCATGTGTACAGAAATAGTTACAGAATCAAAGGTGTCTTTTTTAACAGTGCTGGGTTGTATGATATTATCAAGAAGCTTTTAAATTCATGATTTAAAAAATTAAATATTTCAATTTCCCCATGAAAGTGGTCACTTGTGCTTCTTTTCTTCAGAAACATACTAGATGATCTAAGACAGTGTTACTCTTTGTGAAACAGAAGGAAAGAAGCAAAGAACAGACACAAAAAAGGAGTGAACTGCACTATGGGAGACATTTACAGAGAGTAGGCCAGCAATCTGTCCAGGATGTACCCTGCATTTTGTCCTCTGTCAACTACAAAAGGCTTCTGCCTCTTACCAACCCTTATTTGGATAAGTGATTAGGAATAGGATGTTCAGTGATTAATCAGCTGGACACTCAGTAAACTCGGTGGTTTGTTTAAGCTGAAGGAACTGCGTAAACTTCTGATTAAATAACGTTTAATAACAGATACCCGCTAATCTTTTGGATCCGATTTTCAGACATATTGGAGAAAACTTTTATGAGCGCTCTTTATTTCTTCCAGCTGAAGTCAACAGAGGGCTTTTTTTCCACGGGATGAAATGCATGCTGGAAACAGTGTGTCGTGCAGACCTGTGACACTCATCTGGATTTGAATGGCATGCTCTCATTACTCTTTGTTTCCACACTACTGTACAGTACCTATGCTCCTTCAGCATTTCCAATGATTCACTCATACTTGGCCCTTCTGCATTCTTGCTTATATTCCCCCATTTCTCTGTCTGTTACACTTAAATCACCTCTCAGCTTGACCTTTTGAATTCTTCTTCCTGCAGATGAGGTGCAACCGTCACCTGATGGTAAAGAGGTCAGCCCAGAAATTAAGGTTGAAATCCTGCCAGGTGACTGCAGACTCTCATGACAAAATCAACTAATGTGAAACCTCTAGTAAGCATTAAGATACAAATGAAATAGCCAGCCCATACTTTGTGTTTCATTAGAAATGCAACACATGAGAATAACACTGGAGCTAATCTATGAGCTGACCTGCCCTAGTTTACACACAGGAGTGGGTGGGTTTATTTCTTCCACACAGTCAACAAAACTTTCCACAGTTTTCTTGTAGAGCAACAAAAAGCCCTGTGATCAAAGCCCAGCAAAGTTATGTTTCTCATAAATGGGGAATTGAAGATTTAACAGCTACGTTATACAGCGGGCATCACACCAGCATCAAAATAGAAAACTCCTCTTGTGGTTGAATAATTCGGGCCACTGCTAAGTTGTAAAATTTTGCATGTAATCCCATAAAGCTTGACTCTGTAAAGTAGCGGCGCCTCCGAGGGGCTGAACGAATCGTCTGACTTCGTGTTTGTTCTCTTTTACACAGAAGAGCCCACCGCCACCGCGCCCTATGAGGGGACCTGGTATGATGATTACGACGAGTACGGGATGAGTATGTGGCCGCCCGCTCACACACATGTGAATCACAACCATACTCGAATGTTTTCTATTATTGGTTTAGTCACAGAGAACTTCCTGCCAATAAAGCAAACAGCAAAAGAAAGGGATAAACAACAGTTGGGTCAATAGCTTTCAAGTGTTCCTTGATGACCTGTTTGCATTTCTTAATGACTTGCAAAACCACAAAAAAAAAGCATGCATATACAGTACACTACTGTGCATGGCTCTGTGGTAATCATTGTTGTTTCTATGAAATTATAAGTGATTTTCTTTCCTTTTCTGTTGTTGTTGTTGTTTTCAGAGAGAAAAGAAGACGAGACTGATGAAAAGTGGATGGAAAAAGAGCGAGAAAGAGCAGCCAAAGAGAGGGAGAGGGAAGAAAGAGGTAAGGAGACCCACATGGGATTCTTCTTTTTGTTATTTGCACCACCTTGCGTAATCCTGTCAAAGCAAAGAGAGTGCCTCATGAACCCAAGTGGAAAAGTACTAACAATGATGTTGTCTCCCCTCAGTCATATCTAGTCATACTAAGAGAATGCAGATGTGATTTCCATGCATACAAATGTGTGTGTCTCGGGCACTTGCTTTAACTTGCATGACAGGGACAAAAGTTCACCCCACCAAAGTAAAACGGAGATTAGGGCTGTAAAGAGTTCAGAAATCTCATATGGGCTGGGCCCAAAAGCAAAGAGCGTGAGATAAGCTAAGAAGGCTGTGCCGGCATCGGATTGGAAGTGAGGGATGAAGAGGAGTGACAACAAAGGGAGAAGTATTTCAGCTCTTTTGTGCCACGTGTCTGCCGTGCGTAAAGTTGAAGGGGTAAAGCCCAGAGCAAGTGATATATAACACCACCAGGACTGCTGTTAATGAGGCTCTTCCTGTGTGCACAGTTTGACCCAGACTAGGTCTAAGGTGAAATGATTTTGCAGACGTCTCTGAGAGTTGTTGCATTCTTCCGTAAACCAACTATATGCATCTACAGATACTGTGTAAATGGGCGCATGTGTGTGTTGTGGGTGAGAGAGCTTACAACATGTTTTACATTCTCACTGTCAGCCATGTAACCAGCATCACGCTCCAGTATGTGTCAGAATATGAATAATGACAATGGGTGAGAGACTCTGCAATCTTCCTTCATGGTAAAAGTCCAGGTCAGAGGGATGATGATGATGATGATGAGTTTCAGAGCAGACTTGGACTAGAAGCTAAATCATAACATCTGGTGTGCTTTGTTTTTTAACCGTAATCTGGCCCTCCAGGTCCCCGTGAGGACTTTTGGCAAATAAAAATTGTAAAATAATACTGAGTTCCTCCATCATTTCTGGGCAGAGTAAAAGAAAAAGAAATTCAGCCAAGACAGCGCAATTTATTTTGCATTAAGACTGTTTGTCTGGCCTCGGACAGAGAGAGCGCAGAAGCTAAAGGAGGCAGAGGAGAGAGCCAGGAACAGGCCACGTGTCTTCAAAGAGCCAAAGAGTAAGTCAACATCTGTTCAAATCTGGAGAGTATACGTAAGCTTTTGCTGAATGTAATTAACACATTATTTAAATGTTCTCTTTCTGCTTGGCAGAGTGTCCTCCCCTGGGGATGGAGTCTCACAAGGTCGAGCCAGATCAGCTTTCAGCCTCTTCTATGTCTCAGTATCACTTTGCACCTCAGAGGGCGCGCCTAAACATGCAGGTACACAACAATCAGGGCGGGGCCATGCACCTACAAGCAGGCCTTGAAATAACCACCAGCTGCCAGCAACACTGAAAAATACTGTTATTGTTGGGTCTGTCACTTCCAGGAGCTGCCTTAGTGGTACATGCTTGATGGATTCTTTTAAGTCCTCAGTATTTAAATCAACAATGTGTTTTTTTTGGGGGGTGGGCGGGTGGGGGTATCCAAATTCTTCTGTTAATGGATGCAAAAGTAGATATGTTGCTTTGGCACTCAAGATACTAAAAGGGTTCGAGTATTCAGTAGCATGTGTCTCCCAGGGCTCCGATGATGAGGAAAACATAAGAGGTGGAGCGTGGTGTGCAAATTCAGAGGATGCTATCCACTGGTTTGAGATAGATGCTCGCAGGGCGACAGAGTTCACCGGAGTCATTACTCAGGGACGGGACTCCTTAAATGAGTAAGAGACAAACAGACACGCAGACATAAATATGCATCATTTGACATTCCTACACCCAACAATTTGCCCTCTTCTTCTGTCAGCAATGACTACGTGACGTCCTACTTCCTGGCTTTCAGCAATGACAGCAGAGAGTGGACCACCATTCACGATGGATACGCCGACTGGGTGAGTTCATCTAAAACTGTGCCACTTCCACAAGCACCAATACTCATCTTCCTCTCCCCCTCATTCACATGTCCTCTCTTGTGCAGTTGTTTTTCGGAAATAATGATAAGGACACCCCAGTGATGAACCAGCTTGCGGTGCCCGTGGTGGCCCGCTACATGCGAATTATCCCACAGAGCTGGAACGGCTCTCTTTGTATGAGGCTGGAGGTCCTAGGCTGCCCCCTGCCTGGTGAGTCGTATGCCCACACACTCACACACACCTTAAACACAGAAAATGAATAATTTTTGCTGCTCTTTTCTCCAAACAGATCCAGTTAATGTTCTGTACAAGCAAAATGAGGTGACTCCCGTGGACTACTTGCAGTTCAAACACCACAGCTACTCGGAGATGGTTGATGTGAGTTTCCCTGCAAAGTTTATCTGCTGGCTGATAGAATTCCAGGAGGTCCGCTTTAAATGCTCTAATATAAATTGCAGCTTCATTCTGTCCCAGTTTTTCATTTGAACCACCAGAGACCAACATGACATTTCCACAATAACATAATATTCATTATTAACCATCTGCTTTGTAGTGCGTAATGTAATCAAATACAATGCTTTGCATATTTACTGTTGTCTTTATCTCACCTATTCAGCTTATGAAGTCAGTGAATGAGGAGTGCCCTAACATCACCACCATCTACAGCCTGGGCCGCAGCTCCAAGGGACGGGAAATTGTTGCCATGATAATCTCTGGCAATCCCACAGAGCACGAAATAGGTGGGATCTCAAGCAGGAAACGGGCAGATAGCCGTGTTCTTATTGTAATGTGTGCTATAACAACACAAATGCTGTAATGTGCAGTATTTCAAACAGTCTGGGATGCTGATTCGTTGAAATTACGCTGGGTCTTTATGGCACCACTGTGGTATCCTGCAAATCCTAATAAACACCAGGCGGACACCAGCAGATTAAGGCTGACAGACAATTACAGTCTCGCCCCGGTTGTCCCCACAGGTGAGCCAGAGATCCGCTTCACGGCAGGTCTCCATGGAAATGAGGCAGTGGGTCGGGAGATGATCCTGCTTCTCATGCAGTACCTGTGCAAAGAGTATAAAGACAGAAACCCCAGAGCCCAGCGCCTGGTGGAGGGAATACGCATCCACCTGGTGCCTTCGCTCAACCCTGACGGACAGGAGGAAGCTTTTGAAGCGGTCGGTGTAAAAAACAATCAATTAATGACAACATGTTTTAAATACTGTCTAAAACAAAGAGGAAATGTCTGTGAAACATAGTGGGCTACTTAGATGAGTATGTCTCTTTTACCCAATTTCTACTCTGCAGGGATCAGAGCTGAGCAGTTGGACCACCGGTCACTTCACCAATGAGGGCTTTGACATCTTCCAGAACTTCCCTGATCTGAATAGTATCCTGTGGGATGCTGAGGATAAGGGCATGGTGCCTAAACTCACCCCCAACCATCATGTGCCTATACCAGAGCACTTTGAAGCTAATAGTTCGGTAAAGCAACAAACAAACAAATACGCATATAGATATAGATATAGATATAGATATATAAAGTCTTTGAGACTAACCAGGTTGTGGTAAACAAAAACAAAAGTATGTTACATGAGATTCTGATCCTCTGTCTGTGTGATCCTGATCTTCCTGCTTTTGTTCCAGATTGCTGTGGAAACCAGGGCCATAATCTCCTGGATGAAAAGCTATCCATTTGTGTTGGGTGCAAACTTCCAGGGTGGGGAGAGAATTGTGGCCTATCCTTATGACAGCTTACGTCTCAACAAGCCTGCTGAGAGCCAGAAACCTCAGAGTCGCAAGAAGAGACAGTATGACTTGTTTCCCTACCTGTGTTCTGTTGTTGTTTCTGTACCTTTACGTACACACGTATTGTCCAAATGCTAATTTTTCACCTCTGTGAACCACCAAAATAGTGCTTAATGATTCATTTAGAATCATGTCTGCAGGTATGAGGATGAAGGTTTTGATGTATCTGAGTGGGGAAGGGGCTACCATGAGGAGCCAGTGGAAGACTGGAGAAGCAGAGGGTATGCAGAGCCAGAAGAGGAGTGGCGGGGCCATGGATTTGACCATGGTCACGACACAGGCTATGACCATGGTCGCGACCCTGGGTACGACCATGGTCGCGACACAGGCTATGACCATGGTCGCGACACAGGCTATGACCATGGTCGCGACCCTGGGTACGACCATGGCTATGACCCTGGGTACGACCATGGCTACAATCACGCGTACAACCAGGGTTATGGGCACAGGGAGGAAGAAGACGATGACAGAGGAAGAAGTGCAGGCTACCATTATGCTGAATCTGAAGATGAGCCCCGCGTGACTGCAGACGAATCCCTCTTCAGGTGGCTAGCTATCTCCTATGCCTCCACACACCTGACCATGACACACAGCCATCACGGCTCCTGCCAAGGAGACACACCAGGAGGGGGTCTTGGAATTGTCAACCGGGCCAAATGGAAGCCAGTAACAGGCAGTAAGTAGAGACCAGTGCGTTTAAATTCCCACGTATGTTTATAGCACACCCTGGTGGACAGTAGTTGCAATACACGCTCTTGATCTTCCCTGCAGGTATGAATGACTTTAGCTACCTGCACACCAACTGTTTGGAGCTGTCCATTTTCCTGGGCTGTGATAAGTTCCCTCATCAGAGCGAGCTGGCGTATGAGTGGGAGAAAAACAGAGAAGCAATGCTCATCTTCATGGAGCAGGTTAGTCCCAAACAAACACAAACTGTAACCTGTCCTGACTGTGCTTCAGTCTGTAGTGAAAAGACTATTCAACATCCTGCTGGATATAATGTTGGATTTTAAAATTTCTAAAAAAATAAAAATAAATAAAAGTACCTAAAATTGTGATTTACAGCATTGTGATTTTGCAGTTATTCCTCCTCTGTCCAACCGAGATGTTTCCCACGCTGTATTGGTTTTCCCGAGGTTGCTCCCCTTTATCCTTAGATTTGTCCACTGAGGGTCGACTGACAGAGGATGTCATATGTTGTACAGTTTGCGGAGCTCTTGGAGGCAAATGTTTGCTTTGGCTGTATAAGTTAATTGTCTGTTGCTTTGAATAGTTGATCGCAGGTGTTTAAATTCATATACCACTTATCAAAACAGTTTATTATATTATACATATAAAAGACCCAAATGCAACATAAAAATGGGAGTAGGATCAAATAAGATTCTTTTGTAATGGATGATTTTTGAGTGGAATCATTTTAGAATAACTGAATCATTAAACCACAGCTTTTTGGATCAATCCAAGTATAATTTTGCTCAATTTTACTCCAAAGTCCACTCATGAAAAAATGAAACTACTGATTTTACTGAGCAGTTGAAGAGAACTACTACTCAGCAACTGTACCTTGTACTTTGCTTCTTTCACTCATGTAACTATTTGTGTACTTCAGGTGCACCGCGGCATTAGAGGGATTGTGAAAGATCAGCAGGGGAACCCTATTGCAAACGCTACTGTATCTATCGAGGGGATAAATCACGACGTGACCACAGGTCAGTATACTGTTCACACCATCACTCAGGATGTAATAAAATATAACATAGCTCAAACTGTGCTCAACACTACTGTTGCCATTGTAGCACCAACGGGGGATTATTGGCGTCTGCTTAACCCCGGGGAGTACCGCGTGACGGCTCGAGCTGAGGGCTTCTCCTCGTTGACCAAACTCTGTGTGGTGGGCTATGAGTCGGGTGCGACTGCCTGCAGCTTCAACCTGGCCAAGTCCAACTGGGACCGCATTAAACAGGTAAGACTGTCCCAACTTGAAGTGCCTCGATGCATGTGCATCTTAGCAGTATTCAGTAAAGCCTCTTTGTTTTTTCTTTAATTTCTCTGCAGATTATGGCCCTCCACGGCAACAAGCCAATTCGAATTGCCTACAGCAATAGCAGAGTACAGTACACCACAGTCAACAATGGCCACAGGAGTGTGATCGGTGCCAGTAATGGGTCTTCCACAAATTCTCGACTCAGTCCTGAGCAGCGACGGAAGCGCAAGATCGCTCTCATCCGTCGTCTTCGCCAGCGGAAGTTAATGAAGGCCATGTCGATGAGAACGACGTTACCCCCTACAACAACCACAACCACAATTCCCACAACAACAGAGGCCACCACATCCTGGTATGAATCTTGGGTCTGGGGAGAGGGACAGTCCTCAACTCCTGGCGGCTTCACAGACTCCATCATGGACTATGACTACAAGATCAGTGACTATTAAAGAAAACACAAGTGGCTTGTTTCAAGTAAACCACCGTCCTCTCTTAACTGTAGTTCACGTTGCCGTGTTGTACTTAGAGCTGGCTGAAGAATCAAATTAGGGCTCTCGTCTTTGTACGACGTAAGCAATGGGAATGTACAGAATATCAGCTATATTAAAATAGTACATCTGTTAATCAACATTTGAAATAAGGTCTCTTCACAGAAATGGAACCATTTTAGATTTTTTTTCCCCAAAGATCACACTTCATTATTCTCTGACTCGTTCAATCACTTCTACGAATGCTTCGTGAAAAGAAGTTTATTGTGGATGCACATAAAAAAAACTGTTATTTACACGATCTTCACATATGGCAGAAATATTTTTAGTGTGAACATTCAGTAAATGTGGGAGAACTTGGTAACAGATGAAGGAGTACAGAGGTTTTTATCATGTTTTCTCAGACACAGATGGGTTAGAAGAGTTATTTTTCAAATAAAGGCTTCTTATTAAACCACGAGGGTCTCTTCCTTTCTTTTTCATTTGCTGGTTTTCTTTCAGTTCAATGAAAAAAAACAAAAACACAAATGTTACTTTAACAGAAACACTGAAAGGAACCCATGAGGTAAATGTATCTTATTGAAAAGCTTGTGTTTTTTGGATTGAAGTTAATTTGATCCTTCTCTGGCCAAAAGGAAAAAAAAAAAGCATCAGCTGTGTCCTCAGTGGCTTACGTTCATCTCACTTTCCTCATCTTCATCTGCAGAGAAGGCAGAAAAGCTGATTGGCTCACAGTGAAGAGTGCGTAAATTGACGAGGCACGCCATCTGTGTGCTGCTGAATTCTGGAACGGTAACCAAAAGGACTTCCTGGCCATCCGGACCTGGCGGGATGAGAATACGAGCAGCAACAGTTAATTATTTATTACACATTAGTCTGTGTGAATAGTACATTTGTAGCTTAAACCAGATCATATGATAACATCCACAAAGTTTCTTCTGTTTACATGCAAATGGCATGCACTAACCTTTGATGAGCTTGGAGTCAAAAGTAGGGGCATTGCCACTGAAGTAAACATGGGGACACTCTTCCAGGATGAAAGGGTCTTTTTGGTAAAATGGGTAACAACCTGAGCAATTCAGAGAAAATCTTGTCAATAAACCAATAGTGTGTTTAGATTTACCAGAGGCTCTGCGTGTTATTCTGTATCAACTAACCTAATGTGTCAGGTGCCGTCGGGGCCAGATGTCGGAGTCGAAGCGTTTCCTCTAATATTTCCAAGTGGCTGTCCCTGCTGCTGTACCTCTGAATGTCACAGACGTTCTGCCCTGATGTACCGAGGAACCTTCAAGGAAACAAGCAAATACATGTAAACCTAAACATATTTGCACCTAGAAGTGAATATTAAAGTGGATATGAGGCATAAATGGAGCCCTGCTCTGAAAAACTGACATAGGCTAAGTGCGTCTGTGAAGTTGGATTTAAGAAATAGTGCTAAACACGTTGAAAATTTAAACTGTAAGCACTTATTTTTCAAATCCAGCTACACAAACAGAGTTATATCCATGTTAGTTTTTGAGAGCAGGGCTCTATGGTGTAAATTAGCCTGTATACTTGTAGTGTTTCATGCCCACTGTAACAACATGTGTGACGCTGCTTACCTCACTCCGTCTATGCTGGCGTGGTATGGATTGGATGCCAGCTGTAGTGTGGGGTAAACGGACGACAAGGGGAACATGCATCGGTGGAGAGGCTGCTGTGGGAGGGTGTAGTTGGTGGGGTCGTACTGGCCAGGCATTACATCCACAGGAACCGAGGCCTTAATCAGCAGGAGACAGTAATGTGTAGCAAAAGAAAAAAAACAAAACAGTAGAGTTGTTTAGACGGTAATAATCTGTGCTTTTCCTCTTTTCCTCCAGTCCAGTTTATCCACCATCACCCTTCTGCACATGCCCAAACCACCTCAGCCTGTCTCTCTAACTTAGTGTCCAAACCGCTCAACCTGAGCTGTAACTCTGATAAATTCATTTCTAGTCCTGTCCATCCTGCCCACTCTCCATGAAACTCTGAGCATCTTCAACTCTGCCTCCTCCAGGCTCAACATCCTGTCTTTTTGTCAGCACCACCCTCTCCATACAATACATCATATATTACAGCATGTCCAGCTCGTCTACCTGCTCTTCTTCACCTCTCTTGTGTAGTCTTTGTGAGGCTGCCACGATTTATTATAATCAATGACGTCAACAATTAAAATTTAGCGACATGTAATTTTATTGTCGACGTGTCTAATACCACGTAAATCTGTTTTTTTAAATGCAATACACTACAGGGGGCCATGGGGGCAGTATCCCCTATTTCGTCTGCCAAGACTGAACTCAATACTAAAGAAGAAGAAAGTAGTGCTAACTGCAAAGCAGGACAGAAGAAAATGGAAACGGGGATTTAAAAAAAAAAAATGTGAAAGAATTTCACAGAAAACAAATAAAGTAAATGCAGACTGTGCAAAGCGGAGCTTTCCTTCCAATTTGCTGTGGGACGAGATAACAGGGTGATATTCACTGGTGGGCAGATGAGATACTGGAGCCCAGAACAGGTGGTTTGCCCACAGGAAACGGAGATAAGAGTTATTGAAATAATCATGGACTAATCGACTAAAAAAAAAAATGGCAGATTAGTTGACTACCAAATTATCTTTAGATGTAGCCCTAACTCCTTGCTTTGGATGGTTGACCCCAGGTACTTAAACTCATCCACCTTCTCTACCTCTGCTTCTTACACCTTCGCCTTCAAACCCGTCTCCCAGTCATTCACACACACATGTATTCTGTTTCGATTCGACTGACTTTCCTCCACCTCCCCAGCTCCTCCACCACCTGCTCCTTACTCTTACTACAGATCGCAGTGTTGCCTAACTATATCATACTCCATGGAGATTCGATTCGTGCCCGAACTCATATGTCAGCCTGTCACCACTGCAAAAAACTAAGGGCTCAAAGGCAATCCCTGGTTTAATCCCATCCCCATCTATCATTCCTTCCACACTTTCTCATACAGTATCACAGGTCCTCCCTTGGCTCTCTTGGATGTTATGAATCATAACATAAACATTTATCATTAAAGTAAACTGTGTCAAAATCTTCAGACTTACCACCAGCTGAAGCAACAACTCATCTAGCAAACGAATGGCATCCACACTGCCAGCTTGAGTCTTCTTAGTAAGATACTTGGCCTGGGGAAAAAAACAAAAAAAAACAGAGAAAGGGTAAAATATTTATTTTTATGTTTTAAGTAAACCAGTTCACATGAGTGACTTGGGAGGAACGTGACTATATGACAAGGTTCAAACCATTTTTCCCACCTTTGTTGATGCATCCTTGTCTTGAGTGTTTTGACTCAGGAGGTTTCCCGCCAGCAGAACCCTGGAAATTGTTGCTGCACCACTCTGCTCCCCGAGGTCACCGAGCTGACCAGTTACCATGTCGACAAGCAACTGTAGGCCCAGCATGCTGTCAGCATGAGTACTGCCAAGACCCAGACCTGATGCCAGGAGCACAAACCTGTATGAAGGCAGGCAAAGCAATTAATGTTGTTTATCACTACAGGCAGGGATTTACACCAATTAGATGTGTTTTCATACCTGTCAGAGTCAAGTGCAGGCCTTGCTTTCTGCAAAGGAAGATCCGCTGTGCAAAAGTCCTCAACTGTGAACTTCCCATCGTTCCTCTCAGCACCATATACTGCAATGACGCTGCCTAAGAAAGACAACAAGAAACACCTACATCAGACTCATACATCCACAGCTCATGTGATGCTGACATCCTGAAAAACTACCAACCTGTGACACACTTGTCTTTGTCAATTTTCCCCTCTAGTTTAATCCTCTGCAGTTCATCCTCCAGAATCAACTCATCTGATTCATGAATGTATTTTGCTCGTGCAGGCTGGGGCAGGAGGTTGTGCTGGAGAGCAAGGAAAAAGAAAGTTGTTAAAGTACAATTCAGTAGCTGCTTTCAATGTGTGGGGTGAATTTAGCACTACTTCCAACCTCCTCACTGATTTCTTTCAGAATAGATGGCTGCAAGTCCATACGCTTGAACAGAGTCCCTACAATGCAACACTGCTCCGCTGTTTCTAGATCACACAGCTTCTTGATAACCACATCTGATCCTGACAGATACAGAACAGAAAAAAAAACAGATTAAGAAATAGAAATCAAATGTTTCAGTGTCCCTGATGTAGGTAGGTAAGATTGCTCTGAGCTTACCCCACTTCTGCTGAGCTCTCTCTGACAGCAGAGGCCTCATCTGCATGAGTCGTGCTGCGTAAATGTGAGCATACTGGCGGCTGAAGCTCCGCTCCCCAACTCTGTAGCGTTCAGAGCACTGACTATAAGCCAGAGACGTCCTCTCAAACACCGGGCCCTGGTCCTCCGAGGCAGGACGGCAGAGCAGAGAGGAGCCCTCCTTCTGTACACTTAGGTCTGAGAACATGACTGTCCTGAATAAAAGCACAGGAGACATAGAAATGGGTCTATTTTAGATTTCAAAGGCTATCAATTTAAAGCACAGTCAACTCAATAACATGCTTACAAGTGCAAGTAAAGTTGTCTGGGTTTTTCCTAAACACCCCGACTTTTCATGAGAATACCCTGAAAATTAATATAATATGACAGATATAACGACCTTACCGAAGAAAATAGACGTTTGCACTTCAGTTGCTACTCCTCTGAGATCAAGTGTGTTGATATTTTCAGATATCGACGATTATTTTCAGTAGCTTGCGAGCAACAGGAATAATTCCCGCGAAATGACCCGCGCACCGGTGACAGTCTCTATGTACGAGGGCAAACTATCGCGAGAAGTAAGAAAACATTTTAAAAAAGTCAAAAATCTAAAGCACCCGTAGTAAGGAACAAAACATATATACAACACATTTTAAGCAGCCTTGTTATTTTTATACACTTACATTTTACATATTTTTTTAAATAACTGCATCGTTTTTGTTTTATTGTTGTTTTTTCTCGTACCGTCGCACATAAACTACGTCACCGATGTCGCAACGAATTGAGGTCACAATAGCGTAGCGCGTACCTTCGCCATTTTCACAGCTCTTTGTGCGCTACCGTTTGCAAAGAGTTTCTGTGTTTTTAACAAGCCATTTGCTACTTCAGATTTTAAATCCATTGCGAGAATGCAAGGAAACAGAGGCCCCCAGCAGAACCGCGGCCCAAACCGCCCGGGAGAGCAGCTGAAAAGAGAAGGAACAAACAGCAACGGGCAGCAGCCAGAGCCCAACGAGCAGACCAACCCCAACGAGGCCTTAACCCTGGACCTGCAGAGCTTCAGAAAGCCCGGGGAAAAGACCTTTACCCAGCGGAGCAGGCTGTTTGTAGGTAATTTACCAACGGGTGTTACCGAGGAGGACCTGGAGAAGCTGTTCACCAAGTATGGAAAAGCCAGCGAGATATTTATTAACAAGGAAAGAGGCTTCGGCTTCATTAGGCTCGAAACGAGAATC